CTCAACCTAGAAGTATAATAGGTAATAATATTCGTGAATCGTTAGAAATAATAAAACACAAAAAAGATCATGTAGTATTAAATAGAGATGAAGGTTTGGCGAATATTGCTGCAATAATGTGGATTGATCTCCTTTGAATGGTTTAGCATGAATGTATGAAAAATAACATACAGGTCAATGACCTACTAATAAGCTATAAACATTTTGGCAATTGTTTTGTAATTCACTCCTGAGGATGACGTTGTAACGTTGAAACATGTAGAGTCGTCAACTTTTTGAAGGCCATAGATAGGCCTAAATAAAATGTTTTTAATTGTGTACCAGTTTAACATTGAATATTATTTATGATTTTAACTTTAAAACACAAGTGCCAAAATACTATAATTATTGTATTATAGGATATCCAAAATTTGGTGAAAAAAACTACAATGAGGACGTATCAAAACACGTGAAACTGGTTTTCACCGAGCAAGACTACAATAAGCTATAATCATATGAATATGGGAGCGATGGGCGTTTCGGACCTTTTACCTTGTCACTCAAAGTCTTCCAAATTCACACGACTCTGGTTGTCGTCAAAACTGATGGGAACTTAATGAAATGATCTAGATAGTTGATTTAAACATTTTATTTTCTAAGACGAATTACTCTCCCCCAGATTTCCACCCTAGCTACTGTATTATATTACTAGCTTACTTACAATAGCCATATAATATTTGTTTACAATGTTTCTGGTTTGTTTGTTTTACAGTAACGCTGCATTAGGCTATTTATTGTGTCCACCGCAGGAAATCGAACCCCAAATTGTAGTGTTACAAGTCCGTAGACTTACCGCTGTCCCACTGGGGGAGAGGGGGCACAGTGTTTCTCAAAATAACTATGACGTAAAGACGCTACTTTTTCATTTTTGTGGTCGAGATCACTGTTAACAGGAAATAACAAAGAGAGATGTGTTTATTGTTTGAAGAAATTCCTTGCTACACGTAGTTTTGTAATAAAACAAATTATATAGGGGAGTTTCGCTTTCTTGTGCTTAAGTAGCGACTTATAGTGTCGGTTTTCTGATGAAGATGTACGTACTAAATGTTGCCTGTTTAAAAGACGACTAACATACCTGATACTGTATGAAAAGCACAACGTTATATAATGACACTTTACAGCTTTATTTCCTAATAAACAGACATCGTTTATTCGAGTGTTTAAACATTTTACAGCTTTGGTTTCCTTATAAATAGACATCGTTTATTCGAGTGTTAAAACATTTTAAAACATTGGTTTCCTGATAAACAGACATCGTTTATTCAAGTGTTAAAACATTTTATAGCTTTGATTTCCTGATAAACAGACATCATTTATTCAAGTGTTAAAACATTTTACAACTATTGGTTTCCAGATAAACAGACATCGTTTATTCAAGTGTTAAAACATTTTACAGCTTTGGTTTCCTGATAAACAGACATCATTTATTCAAGTGTTAAAACATTTTACAACATTGGTTTCCAGATAAACAGACATCGTTTATTCAAGTGTTAAAACATTTTACAGCTTTGGTTTCCTGATAAACAGACATCATTTATTCAAGTGTTAAAACATTTTACAACATTCGTTTCCTGATAAACAGAGATAGTTTATTCAAGTGTTAAAACATTTTACTGCTTTGATTTCCTGATAAACAGACATCGTTTATTCTAGTGCTGAAAGATGTGCATTTATTTGTTTCAGAATTTGTGCAAAGCAGCACAAGAACTGTCTGCACATAGCCGTCTCTTGTTCAAAATGAAATACAATAGGGAAGGCAGCTAGTCAATAACACCCACCGCCAACTTCGGGCCTTTCTTGCTGTCACTCTTATAACGCATCCACGACTCTAAAGTTCTGAGCGCATTTTTTTATGGCAACGAATGGCGAACCCTGAATCCTCAGATTTACAGTATGGGCACGCGAGGAATCAGGCTACGCGCACGTGTCTGTACATTCAATAAATTTGTGTATATCTTTCCTCTAGTTTAATGTCTTCCCAAAAATATCAAGTTTTAAGGGTGCGAATTTCTGATACTTTTAAACCATTTCTTTGCAATAAATTTAAATTTAAAACATTTGCTTTTTAATAGAAAAGAAAAGCCCTGTTAGTTGCATATCACTTTATCCTTTATCTGGAAATTCAAATATTTCTTCATAATATGTTATGAATAAATACATGAACATATTTTTTTAAGGGGGCGCCACTTTTGTAATACTATTAATCTTAGAAGTTTGTCAACATGAATTGAAGCAAATAAAGATTGATATTATCATTAGCATATTTTAAGGAGAGAATACATGTCGCCACAGGCAGCTCTTGAGCCTCTGCCATCGTGAATCAAAATAATAAAATAAAAAGTATTATCAATTCTTAAGTGAACAGGACGCATAACTTGACAACGCGTTAATTAATAATATTGACGGACTTGCACCCTTTTTTAATGTTGTAATTAATTCTTAATGAATGGGACAAAATAACCCACTATCATATTTATGCGTACGACATGACGTGTGGGAAATGACGTAACTGCACTGTTTCATTTTAACCTCACTTTAAGGGGTAGTGTTGTATTGTTTGTTGAATTTTGTAGAATGAGTGCATTATTGTTGTTTGTATTGGTTGTTGAATTTTGTAGAATCTCATTATTGTTGTTTGTGGAATTTTGTGGAATGAGTGCATTATTGTTGTTTGTAAAGTTTGTTGAATTTTGTGGAATGAGTGCATTATTGTTGTTTGTTGAATTTCGGGCAAAGCTGCTACGTGAGTGATGATTGCACTAGTCTTCCCTAATTTTGAAGTGATAGACAAGAGCGGCAGTTAGTCTAAATAATCCACCTCCAACTTGTGGGCTACATTAGTTGAATAACAGGATTTGACTGTCATGCTTATAACACACCAAGAGCCCTCAAAGAACGGAGCGCGATTTTATACATTTTTGGCGGTAGTGGGACGCGAACCATGGAACCTTGAATTCATAGTTCGGCACGCTAACTAGTGGGCCACAATTTTTAAGACCTTCACCGCTTAACATGTTTTGTTGTTGTTGTTGTTGGTTGGTTGTTGTTAAGAGCAAAGCTACATAATGTACCATCTGTGCTCTGTCCACCACGGGTATTGAAACCCGATTTTTGGGGTTGTAAGCCTGCTTTTCGCTCAGCTACTGTTGTTTTTCTTCTTCTTTTTATGGAACACTTATTAGAAATTCCCTATTTTGAAATAAACAACGACACAAGAACAGCTTCTACAAGTCGAGGTAATAATTTGACTGTTGTCAATCTGTTTATGTGTCT